CCATCCATCATCCATCCATCCATCCTCCATCCATCCATCCAACATCCATCCACCCATCCATCATTCATCCATCCATCATCCATCCATCCATCCATCCATCCAACATCCATCCACCCATCATCCATCCATCCATCCATCCATCCATCCATCCATCCATCCATCCATCCACTTATCCATATAAGCAAACATCTACCCATCCAGTCAGTCAAGTAAATGTCTATCTCTCCACCCATATAAACATGCGTCCATCAATGTACAAAACATCTGTCTATCACCCATGTAAACCCCCATAGTGCATCCATCCATCTATCCATGCAAGCAAAAATCTACCCATCAATGTACTCAAGTTATATCCACTCATCAATGCATGAGACTTCCATCCATCCATGCAGACACCCACATATCTGCCCACCCACCTACCCATATAAGCACCATGTACCCATCCATCAGTGCATGTGAACAAATGTGTACACACCCGTCTATCCACTTAAACAGCCATTAGCTCCCCAGCTAACATCTAGCCCCCTAACACACACAGCACTGGAGGCCCAGAGTGTCTTCTCATCCAAGAAGAATGAGCTTGAGTTTTCAGGTGAAGGCAGGAATGGGAAAGAAATTTCTAGCCTGAGGGAGTCCTATACGCTTCAGACACTTTGCCATTTCATCTGGGGCCAACTGACGCTGTAGGACTTTCCCACCTAATTCTGCAGTCCCTCTGTCTGACCCAAACCACCCATCATCCAGGCAGCGACCACTGGCATTCTGAACTTGGAGACAATGACAGGATCCAGACAGACATCAGAGGGCAAAGCCAGCAACACTTCTGTCCCCCGGCTGTCAGATTACAGCCTTCTATGAAATAAATAAAATCCACACACACCTATCATCCCCAGGCTTTGGGCAGGGGCGGGAATGAGTTTGTTGGCTGGATCTGAAGAGGGAAGCCTGTATGAACACGCAGAAGGTGTCTGAAGGGAGATGCCAGGGATGATGGTTGAAAGGAGTCTCACGCATGTGGGGGAGGACCGCTTTCCCACACAGCAATCAAGGCCTCACTGCTCACACCCTCTGCCAGGGAGGGGGGCGGGGCTTGAGCCCGAGTCCAAAGACCCCTCACCCCACAAGGGCCCAACTGCTTGTCACAAGATACAGCACTGCCCATGGAGAGCCGGGCTGGCTGAGAGGCCAGACTGGCCATCTCCTCGGCTCAGAGGCTGCTTGCTCGGTCAGAGGCAAAGCCGTCAAGCCCGTTTTCATGGGGTTGATTCTGACCAATGGTGACCCTGAGTGTCACAGGGTCTTCTAGGCTGTCATCTCTATAGATCTCTTTCCTGCAGCACTGCAACAATGTCAGTCTACAGACTAAGGTGCCCCTGACCCAGGCCATGGTCTTGGCAGTCACTTGATATGCTTCTGAGATCTGAACAATGATTCAGGAAGATGGAGGAGAGTCAATGCCTTTGCGTTGTGATGCTGAAGAATGCTGAACATGATGTGGATTGCCAAGAGAACAAACAGGTCTGTCCTGGAGAGGAGGAAACCAGGCTACTCCTTGAGGCAAGGACCTCGAAGCTCTGTCTGATATACTCTGGGCATGTTGTCAGGACGGGCCAGTCCTTAGAGAAGGACATCATGCTTGGAAGGATAGAGGGAGGGTCAGCACAGGAGGGGAAGAGCTTGGCTGGACTGGCACAGTGACTGTGGCAATGGCATCAGGTGTGTCAGGGGCAGAGAGGCTGGCTCAGGACAGGGCAGGGTTTGCAGCCATTGTTCATAGGGTGCTCTGAGGTGTAACTGACTGGATGGCACATAACAGCAGAAACAACAGTGGCTGGGGTGGTTAGATGCCAAGTGCAAACTGTCTGCTCTGCACTTTTTTCCAAAGGAGGGTCCAAAAGCATAGTTGTGGATGAGGAGACCTCGAGGTCTCCCTCACCAGGCATGGCTGACAATACCCGGCATGTCCAAGTCTGTCCACCCAGGGTATCACCTGGAGCTGGTGTGCTGTTGGTACCTTGATGGGAGGATGCAGGGAGACACTCTCCCAGGGGCACGAGGTCACTGCCCTGGTCTGAGCTGTGGATGAGCCCCTTCCCTGCAGCCAGAACAGCGGACACAGGCAGGCAGCACAGCAAGGCCAGAAGGGCCTTCCACCAGCCTCAGCACAAAGTCAAAGGCGGTGGCCAGGGGCTCTAGACTCGACCAAGGTCAGGCTGTTGGCTTGCGAGGCGTGGGACTAGGGACACTTCAGGGCTTGCTGCCACCTGGGCAGGGTCAGAGGGGGGCTCAGGGGTCCCCAGACACAAACAGTGACACATATCAGGGCTGTCAGTGACGGAAACAGCTGGGAGTGTAGAGAAAGGCCCAGGGCGCATCTACCTGCTGTTACAGGGCTGGGGTGTCACCAAAGGTGGCAATGCTCCATGCTGAGGTGAAGGGGTTCAACCCACAGCTGAGCAAGCCCTGTGAGGGGTCCCCACCGAGTAGAGGCACATCCACACCCTCCATGCGGCAGGGAATGGAGCTCCTGATGGTACAGATGGTAGGCACTCAACTACCAGTGAAAGGTTGACAGTTCAAATCCACCTAGAGGCATCTCAGAGGTAAGGCCTGGGATCTACTTCTAAAACAACCGGCGCTGATACCAGTTCTATTTGGCTACAAGGAGTCCCCGGAAGTCAGAATTGACTAAACAACAAACAACAAGAGGTTACAGATTCCATCAGGCCCCCCCCCCCAGTCCCCTGGGGCTGATGGCTGGTGTCTGAGAGGGGTGGAAGCAGGTAGGTTGGGGGCCACCAGGCCTGTCCTGTCTCCCGATGCTTAGCGCTGTCCCTTTTCCTGTGGAGGTGGTTAACCCTCCCAGAGGCCCCCGGGACACGGTACTCCCCATCACCCACAATGGCGCTCCCCCACTGCCCGGGCATTTCAAGTTCATATGTTCACCGTGCTGCTGCTGTCATGGGCTCCTCTGTGACCATGACTTTCTTTAGACCTGAAGTCAGGCTGGAAGTGGACCCATGGGCTGTGTTCAGTGGGCTTCTGGGCTGGACTAGGGAGGAGGCCTGGCAGCTGGTGACAGGAAGGGAAGGCAGAGAGGCAGATCTGCGCTGGGGGCAGCTCTGTGGACCCTCTGTGACCCCCAGTTGCCAGACCCTCCCCTCTGATCTGACCACGGTCACCCCATCTCCACCCCAGTGTGTGGTCCTGAGTGAATCCTTGCCTTGGATTCCTAATGGGCAGTCCCAGGACACTCTTACCCCCAGTGGGTTTGTGGGAGGTCCTGTGCTGACCCTCCTCCCATTTGGGGACTCGAACAGTCCTGAGTGGGTGGTCCTGAGCAGACCCTGCCCCCTCAGAATTCCTAGCACAGGCTCCTACAAGGAGCTTGACCCTGGTTCCCAGTTGGAGGTCCTGAGCAGAGCCTGCTGAGTCCTGCATGGAGCGAAACCCTTTTGTTCCCAAGTGGGTGGTTGTAGACAACTCCAGGAAGACCACGAGTGGGTGGTGCTGTCCGGACCCTGCTCACCACTTCCCAGCCCAAGGCTCTGTGTGAACCCTGGGCTGCTGGACCTGCATGAACTATGCACGCAGAAGGGAGCTGCGTCTCTCCGTCTCCAGAGCAGGGCTGCGTGTGTCTGCACACCTGGCTGTGCACACGGGGGAAGCCTGGGCCCTATTTGCTCTGTCAACATAGCGCCTGAGCTGGCAAGTAAGCGGAGGCCACAGTGCCCTGCTGCATGGCTGGCCATCATTACCAACCTGGGCAGCCACTGGTCACCCTTCCCAGAACCCAAAGCCAGAGCTGGACCGGTGGGGAGAACAGCGAGGTGCAGGAGAGTGAGACAGACAGACAGAAACAGACATCTACTCAGAGACTCAATTTTACTCAGAATGAGCTGGAGGTGCAGGAAAGAGAGGGGGGGAAAAGGAAGAGGGAGAGGGAGGGAGGGAGAGAGAGAGGGAGAGAGAGAAAAGGAGAGAAAGAGGGAGAGGAGGAGAAAAGGAGAGGAAGAGGGAGAGGGAAAGGGAGAGGGGGAGAGGAAGAGAGAGAGATGAAGAGGGGGAGAGAGAGAAAGAGGAGAGGGAGAGGGAGGGGAAGAGGGAGGGGGAGAGGGAGAGAGGAGAGGGGGAGATAGAGGGAGGGGGAGGGAGAGAGAAGGCAGGTACCAAAGAGAGAGAGAGGAGAGAGGGAAGATAGCAAAGACAGATATGTATGTGTGTGAGAAACAGGAAATGAAGGGCAGAGACAGAAAGAGGGAAAATGAAAAACAGAAAGGCAGTGAGCGAGAAGGAGAGAATGAATTAGAGGAGAGACAGAGAGATCTGGGCAGGCAGACCACGTCCAGGCTGGGAGCCTGTCTCCAGAGGAGCCCCCAGGAGACCATCCAGCTAGGGGCCAGCCCTGCAGACTCCCCTCACTCTCAGTGGGGACATGACCCTCATCTTCCCTCAAAGTTGGGGGGACAAGTGAGACTCAGGACTCAAGTGTGGTTAGTCCCTTGTTCAGCGTGAACCCCTCACCCGAGGCACCAGTGCCGTGGTGGTCAGTCCTGCCGCCTCTCCTGTCCTATCCACACCCAGCACCGATGCCATCCTTAGAGGCTGCACTATCCACATCTGCCACCTTCCCAAGAACAGAGGCTCAGGGACCAGCACCTCCGATGTGAACGAATGACTGAAGGCCAGAGGCCTCCCTGCAGATGCCTCTTCACATCTGGAGCCTCAGAGTCCCCTGTCTCCCAGGGCTGCCTTGAGACCCTGGCAGGAGGAACCAGAGCACCTTCTGGAACATTCTGGCACACTCCTAACCAGGCCCCTGAACTCGTCTGGACATCCTGAGGAGTGTTGTTTGCCCCAGGCCCCAGCACCGGGGTGACTCGAGTGGTGATGGGTCTGACGGGACCCAGGCTCAGCCCAGTCTGCCACCCACACACATTCCTGTCTCTGCCTGGCTCCCCTGGCACAGCACAGGGACATGTCCTTGGCTGTGCTCGCCCCTTTGTCCTGCGAGGTAGCCAGAGGCAGGCACTTGGGGCTCCTGTCACTGACAAGGCAGGTGGGGGAAGCCTCACATTTTATCACTGAAAAGACAAAGAAAGCATGCAGAAGCAAATTGCTTAAGACGGAGGCTCCAGGGGAAGAAGTTCTCTGCAGTCTGGCTAGGTCTGCCTCCTTCCTATTCTCACTGCCTCCTTTTTCTCCTCCTTTTCCTCTTTCTCTTCCTCCTCCCCCTCCATCACCATTCACCCTATCCACCAATCTATCCGTCCATCAGGGAGCTCTCATGGCCTAGGGGGAAGGAGCTGTGCTACCAACTCAAATGCGTGTGGTTCGAATCCACCAGCTGCTCTGCAGGGGAAAGGTGGGCAATCTCCTGGGTGATCAAGTAATTGCCTCTAAAAACCTGAGCACAGCTCAGCTATGGGTTGGCTCCTACTGGACAGCACACAGCAATAATAACCCGTCCATCATCCATCCATCCATCCATCATCCATCCATCCATCCATCCATCCATCCATCCATCCATCCATCCATCCACTCCTTCCTTCCATCATCTATCTATACATCCATCATCTACCCACCCATCCATCCTTCATCTACTCCTTCCCCATCATCCATCAACTATCTATCTATCTATCTATCTATCTATCTATCTATCTATCTATCCATCCATCCATCTATCATCTATCTATCCATCCATCCATCCATTATCTATCTATCTATCTATCCACTCATCATCTATCTATCCATCCATCCACCCACCCACCCATTTATTCTTTCCTTCCATCATCCATTTATCAATTCCATTCTTTTCGTCCATCTGCCCACCACTCCCATCTGCTCCTTTTTGCACCTCATCTATCTGTCCATTTATTTCACCCACTCATCCATCCACTTAACATTCTTACACACATAAATCCATCCAATTGTTCTTTCTATTCAGTCTTCCAATTGTTCTTTTTACCCTTCCACCATATACATCGTCCCTAACTGTCTCCGATTGGCCAGACCTGTACTCATTGCTGGGACATAAAATTAAGTGAAGGAACAGTTGAGCTTGGACAACTCTAGAGCTGGGTTCAAGGGGTCGAGCCCCCAGCAGTCCCCAGAAGTTATCTCCTGAATATGACCATCTAGGTGGTCTTGAGATGAGAAACAGGCTGGAGTGGGGATGAGGGCTGAGGGGTGTATGGCTGAGGGCACAGCTGGTGCCCATGGTGGAAGCATTTGGGGGAGGGAAGGGAATTGGCTGAACAGCAGATGGGGGCAGGGGGTCTGAAGCCAGTGCTAACAAGGGCAGGCCGAGGAGGATGGTGCTTCTCAGATGGGACTGGATGAAGGAATTCCTGCAAGTCACAGGGGTCACTGAAGACCGCCAGATGTTAGGTTAAAAATAACCAAATATGTCCTTTTTGTGCTAAATCAGATAACATCCCCAGCTAGATTCCTGGGCAGACAAGTGGGTCAAGTGCCAAATGTTGAAAAACATGAGTTGGCTGGAGACAGAGGGACTGAAGGGGAGGACATTCCACGAGAAGGGGACAGGGTCACCCCAGTGGCTCTCAGGGGCATCAATCCACTCATCACCCAGGAGGAGGGGTGGTCTGAACAGATGAGCAGCCAGGACCCAAGTGGGGCTCCAGTGGTGTCCCCCTGGGACAGCTGGACCCCGGGTGCAGGGCGGTCTGCTTGAGGCTGGAATGGGCATGAGCAGGATGAACAGAGGGAAGGAGGGGACCAGGGCTATGTGAGGGGATGTTCATGTGGGGGAGCGGGTGAGGGACCCTGGGTGGAAAGGGCGGAGATCCCTCACTAAGAGTGAGGGCGCTTGAATGGGAGGCCGCAGCTCCAGAGAGCGGGAGGGATTAGAGACAGTCACTGCACAGCACGAGGGATTCTCAGGGCTTCCAGAGAGTGCTCCGAACGGAACACCAGGTCAACGGTCTCCAGCTGGAAGAGGTTCCAGGTCAAGTGAGTTTGAGAACCACTGACTCAGAGACTGACAGGTTTCCTCTCTAGAGTATTACTGAGGGGCAAGGGTCACCGCAAAGCTGGGTGTGGTGGCTCCCAAGCTTCTCTGCCCAGGAGCAAGTCACGATCTGGATGAAGGCCAGCAAAGATGAGCTGGGGGCCTGGGGGCGACTCCTTTGTCTCTGGGAGGTGGGCTCTAATCAGTGTCAGAGGAGGAAGGAAGCAGCGGGGGCACAGCGTTCTGCACACACGTCCACAGTGACCAGCTTGGGTCCCTTCTGAGATTTGGAAACAAACAGAAGCGTATGTGCGCATGCAGACACACACACACACACACACACACACACACACACACACACACGTTGGAGTGGGAAGGACTGTGGACAGGACTGGGACCCACCCGCCCCCTCGCCTGCAGCCCCTGCTCTCCCATCACAGCCCGTGCACGGCACTTACTTTTCTGTCATTGAACTCCACGTTCTCCCCCTCATAGTCTCCCTGTTAGGAAAGAGAAAAGGAAGATGCTCATTCTCCCGTCCAGCTTTGATGGGGCTGCTGCATCGATTCTGACCCAAGTGGCCTGAGTGCGGAGTGGACCTGCTCTGCAGGGATTTCAGAGTCTCTCTCTCCTGAAACACCACCTGGCGGATTCGAACCACTGACCTCGTGGTTAGCGGTCATGCGCTCAAATATTTGAACTACTTACCTCATTTGCATACAAGGCTTGGGTCAAACTGCCACCCTTGCTCCTTAGCATTTTAAAGCCTTTTGCAGCAGGTCTGCCCAATAGTTAGGCTGTTGGATTTATTGAGTGTGGCTTCCACGGGTGTTGATTATGGTTCCAAGGGAAGGAAAATCCTCAATAGCTTCATTTATCACGCTGTTGCTTCCTGGGGCCCAGCTGTCCCTGGGGGGCACCACTGTAGCCTCATCTGGACTTAAAGCTTGATTGGTTAAGTGTTTGAAGTGCTTTCTGGTTAAGCAAAGCTGTGCCATCTGCATATTGCAGGCTGGTGAGGAATCTTCCTCTTAATCCTGAGGTTGCATTCTTCTTCAGATAATCCAGTTTCTCACCGTACAGGCTGAATATGTGTCGTGCAAGGACATCACTCGGACACACACCTTTCCTGATATTCAGACATTCAGCATTCCAATGCTCTCTGTACCTTTTGGCCTGTGGACAGGTTCTGCATGAGCACAACTAAGTGTCCTGGAGTTTCCATTCTTCGTGATGTCACCCATAATTTTTTACAGTGCACACATTTGAATGCCTGTGCACAGTCAATAAAACACAAGTAAACAACTTCCTTGCATTCTGTTTTCAGCCAAGATCCAGCTGACATAAACAAGGATATCTCTTGTCCCATGTTCTCTTCTGGATCAGCTTGGACTTAACCATTTTTTAATTCTCTTCAACATAGTTTTATGGTCACATGCTATTACTGATATTACAGTTAATAAACTGACTTCTGTATTTCATTGGACCGTCTGTCTCTGGAATGGGCATGAATATGGGTCTTTCTAGTCTCTTGGCTAGGTGACAGTCTTCTGAATTTCTGGCTTAAAAGGAGAAGAAATGGCTACAAATGCCCACTAACAATCAGGATGTGGAAAGTATGAAGTAAGAGTCAAGGTAAAGTGGAAGGAGGAAAGAATGAAACAGAATAATGGTGTTGGCTGTCATTGGCATGAGGACACGGGCACGGCTGGTGCTGGCTGCGGATCTTTTCAAACTTCAGTCACATCGGATCTGACTCAAACGAGCCTCATGTGGGTCCTGGAACCAGCAATCCCATTCCACAGATGGAAACATTAAGGTCCAGAGAAGCAGACTAATTACTGAGACTGTATGACGGAGTTTGAGATTGGATCTAGGTCTGTCAGTCTTGGAATGGAAGAGATAGGAAGGAGAAGGAAGAGAAGAGGAGGGAAGAGAGAGAGAAGGGGCCACAGGGGCCAGGTAAGTCCTGCACACCAGTCCCTGATGGAGGGGACCGAAGAGGAGCAGCCCGGGGCCTCTGTGGAAGCCTGGACGCCACCACAGTGGGCTGGCTTGGTCCACTCCACCCACCTCTCATGGGTATAAAAGGGGGCTCACTGCACCCACCACCGAGTCCTTTCATGAACTCCCACCACTAGTGCCCACTGCCAGGTTGGGACAAACCCCAACAAACACCAAACACGCCAACCCCGGTGGGGTGATGTCACCACCTCCTTCGTCCTTGGCTAGTACTGGCCCTCCCAAGCCTGGCTCCTGGCATTTCCGGCATTTCTGCCCAGAGCTGAGGAAATGACCTACTTCTAATGACACCTCTCTATCAAGACCAGCTAGCTGGTGACCTCAAGGGGTCAGACGTCAACCAGACACGAAGGCAAACTGCCACCACGCTGTCAACACAGAGGCCAAGGTCCTTTCTCACTGTTGTTCCACTGACTGCAGGAGTAGTAAGTCTCACGCCTCACAGGATTCTTACTATGCAACATTGGACTGTGGTCTGGTTAGCAATGACCACACCTGAGAGAGAGTCCTGTTGGGTGAGTGGACATGTAGGTGTGTGCATATATGGATGGATGAACGGGTGGGCGAGTGCAAGGGTGGGTGGATGGATGAACGGATGGATGGAAGGAATGAGAAACAAAGACTGGTGGATGGATGTGTGTGTAGGTGAATGGTCAGGCATATGAACGGCTGGAAGGACCGATGATGGATGGATGGATGGATGGATGGATGGATGGATGGATGGACCAAGGAACGTATGGATGTACAGATGGAAGGTTTGGTCAATGGATGGATTAGTGAGTGGACGGGTGGACTGGAGACCGTATGGAGGCAGAGATGGAAGATTTGGTGGATGAACGGGTGGATTAGTGAGGGGACGGATGGATGTTTTGGTGGATGGACAGACGGATGAAGGACTGACTGATGGAAAGATGGGTACATGGATGATGGGAGGACTGGCGGGAAGACAGATGAATGAAGAGATGGAGATGCCAGGGGTCAAGCATGAAGGTCATGGACGATGACACAGGACAACTTAGGGTGGAGAGGACGGCGACAAAACATTTATAGCAAAAGCTCTATCTGTGCTGTGCACTGCTGTCAGATCGGCCCTACACACGTGGGACAGAGCCAAACACTGCCAGGCCCGTGTCGTCTGTGACCAACCACAGATCCCATGTTGTCTCCACAGACCCCGTGTCATTCACGACCAGCAGACCTCGTATTATCCACGTCCAACCTCAGGGCCCATGTCATACACGGCCAGCCGTGGATTCCGAGTAGTCCGTGACCAAGCACAGATCATGCCGCTGAGACTCACAAGGTTTTCTTTTCCTAATGTTTCTTTCTTTCTTTTTGTTGGTGGTGAGACCCCACTTCTCCTCCCATGGCAGGTGGGCTATATTTGATAGGTGAGTCCGGAGGGAGTTGGGGGGCTCGTCACTTGTGCAGTGAGAATAAACTCATCTGGGTTGAGTCTGTCCAGCCTAAGTCAGTGGGGCCCTGACCAGGGACATTTCCTGGACCAGCTCGGATGGAGATGGGCAGAGGTGGTCACCCATGCCCCTGATTGGGAGCGACAGTTCTGAAACACAAGATGACCATGTGTCCAAGGGCTCTGCTTGCCATGGAGAAGGGGTAGGGCCTGTGAGAGCTGATATTTAGGGCCACGCCAGGCAGGAAGTCGAGACTGAATGACCCCGAGCTCCCCAGGGGTGTGGCCTGAAGGGTCCCTGAGTAGAAGTCAGGGGACACAGGGGGAAGCGAGTGTCCAGGGCACTTACATCATGAAGTGGGTAGGCAGCCGAGTAAACACCGTTGGCCAGCAGACTCGTGATGCCTTGAAAAACAGAGACAGGGAGAAGTCACTGAGCAGATGTGACCCTGTCCCACGTGGCACGGGCACGGCCCCAGGAAGGCTCGACCACCAAGAGTTTTCTCATGATGAAATCAGTCAGCCCCCAGGGCTGGCCACCTTGCTGGGCTTCTTCCCCGAGGGGGCAGGCGCGGGTTACAGACAGACATGCTTGATTGGCACAGTTAGGGAGACACCAGGACCCCCAGAGGACAGCCGGCCTGGCGGGAGGAGGCGGACAGTCTCCACACCTCTTTACCACCGCCACCGGCCTCGCCTGCCCAGGCCAGGCCTGCACGTGGAAAAGAGTAGATGGAAGTGGTTAGAGAAGCTGAATCACGAGGAACCGAGGGCGGGAAATTGATGGTGCTGGAAACACACATTCAATTTGGTTACAGATTGATTAGAGACGGCAGAGGGGCGCCCACGACCCAGCCAGCTAGGGCGCGGGCACTTACCGTATTTATCACATTTCCGCCTTTTACTTAAAAGGGCCGAATCCTTCTTTCTTCCCTCTCCTTGCCCTGTTTACACAGCTGCTATTAGTGACGTGACAAGCCCCAGAAGAGTGAAGCTAACATGGGAGAGCAGAGCTTTGCAACCTGGGGGCGACGGCATGGAGGCTGGCCCCAGGCTTCCAGAACCAGCACCATGTAGCTTCTAAGTGCCCGGAGCGGTGCTGGCCAGGAGGGGGAGAGGGGTGGTGGGAAGGGCTACCCGGGATGTGACCCTGCTCCACGGGCTGCCTGGGTTCCGCTGCTGGGGGTCTCCCTAAGCCTCTCACTGCCCCCACACCCTCTGCCTGCTGGTGATTCTCACGGACGCCTGGCTGCCTCCCCTCCCCCTCCCCCTCAGCTGTTTTCCATCGAAACTGATGGGAAAGCGGCTTCCTGAAATAAACTTTCAGGGACTATCTCCCCAGTCAGCTCTCGGGAGTGGCCCAGAACCGAGCACCACCGCCTGGGAAACGGAGCACGGGGGATGCAGGAGCGTGTGGCTGGAACCCACGCACTATGGATGGGACGCGGCAGGCATGGGGACAAGGTGTGCCCACTCCCACTGAGAAGCTTCCAAAAACCCGGATGGACCACGGCCTCCCGGTTCACGCAGGCAGAGTCTCTTCTCAGGGCTCTGCAGCCCTTGTGATGTGCTGTCATTCTCCCCACCACCTCTGTGCCCCATCTTCTATCACCATCTGTCCCCTCCTCCGTCCACACCCGCCATGCTGGCCCTTCCCACCTCTAAGAGGTGCACCCTCACCTTCAGACCTCACTTCAACTGCACCCATCAGAAGGGCATTCCGGGGTGCTGCACTAAATCCCCCTGGTCCCCCGCCCCCTCATCCTACAAGACGGCACCTGGGCTCCCTCCCTCCCCTAGCCAAGGCCAGCACACAGGACAGAGCCTGGGGGTGGGACAGGAGCCCACTGGTTGACCA